TATATAGTTAAATACTTCTATAATTATATTTATTTATAGTTATACTTTTCTATAATTATATTATTTGTTTTTCTATTTGCATATAAATATAGTAAAAAAATTTTTTTATAATCATATTCTTTTTATAATTATTTAATTTTGCTTTTTTAAGAATAATAACTATAGAAAAAAGATATAATAAAAAATATTATATTATAAAATTAAATAAAAATTATAATTAAAGCTTCTAATAAGCTAACTCTTGAGTTTCTCAAGCTTAAATTTTATATATAGTTTAATAATATGAGTTTAAATTTTATTAATTAAATTATATATACAAGTTAATATATGAGTTGATGAGTTGAGCTTTTTAGAGCTCTAATTATAATTATTTTATTATTTTATTATAAAGTTTATATAAAAAAATATATAAAAAATTAATAATAATTTTAATTAATAAAAAATAAGAGAGTTTAGTACAAAAAAAGATAATAAATAAATTTATATTTTAAATTTCCAAATAAAAGTAATTGTATAAAAAATAAAAAAGAATAATAATAAATAAAATAATAAAAATAAAAAAATAATAGATATAAAAAAAATTTTAATTTATGATTATTATATTATAAAAATTTATATTACTAAATAGTGATCTATATGTAATAATTGTTAATTGACTAAATAAAAATTAATTTTACTTTTTTCATTTTTAATATTATTATTATTTATATTTTGTTATATAAATAATTTATTTCTATTTTATTATTTTTAGATAAGTTATATATTCTACTTTTATTAATTTTATAGAAAAGTATATTTGTTTATTATGTATTTTATTTAATAAATTATTATAATTTCATTATCAATTTGGAAATCTTGTAAACTTTCTGATAATAATTTCAATAAGTTTATTATTTTTTTTGTCTTTTTTATATTAATAAATATTATTATAGATCTAATATATATTTTTATTATAAATAATAATAATATTTTTTAGAATTTCATATTTCTCTTGAAAAAATACTATATTATCACTTTTTGATAATTTATAATATTAATTTTTTTCTTGTTGGATTTTAAATTAATAATATCAGTCATTTTATTTATTATAAGAATAAAAGAGTAAAAAAAGAGTTTTTTTTTGATAATTTTCTTTTGATTTATTGTTCTATTATTATTTTTATTATTATTATTATTTTTGTTTTTTTGTTATTATAGTTATTATTCAGAATATATTAATTATATTATGCTTATTATTTATTTTATTTTTTTATTAGAAATTTGTCAAAAGATCTTTAATAATATAGATAAATTTTTATTTTCTTTTTATATCTATTATTTTCTTAATTATCTGACTAAAATCTAAAAGATTTAGTAATCTTATAACTATTATTTTAACCAAATTCAAATTGATTTTTGAAATAATTTCTGAGCTGATTATATATTTCTGAATTAATAATACTAATTTTAGATAATAATATTAAAAATATAAATAATATAAATAATTTTTTGAAATAATACAAATCTTCTTCTTATAAAAAAAATATTTTTTTTGTTACAAGTAAAATTTTTAATTTTTTTCTTTATAATAATATTTTAAGTAATCTTTTATAATAATCAATATAATAAATAATCTTCATATTTTATATTTTCTTTATTATTATTTATTTAAAGTAAATAAATTATTTTTTTATTTTTATTAATATTTTTATTAATATTTTTATTAATATTTTTATTATTATTATTTATTTTTTTACTTGTGATAGTAGAGTTAATTAATTAAATATTTTTATTTTTATTTTAATATTCAATCTCATTTTTAGTTTTTTATTTTATTTTCAATTTTATTTTTAGCTTCTTTAAACAAGTACAAGTATAAAAAATTTAGTGATAATCATATATTTTTACTTTTTGAAAATATATTAATTAGTTTTTTGATTGTTCTTATTATTAATTAGTGATTAATTAATTGAGCAATTGTTAAAGATCTTTAATTATTATTATTTGATTATTAACTACAGAGAAATCCTTCTAAATGCATCTCCTATAAGTGCATACTCTTTCTAAATGCATTCTTTAGTTTGATTTCAAGCTGAAATTATAGTACTAAATGTACACTCTCCATATTTTATACGTGCAATCATTTTTAAGTCCCATTATATTTGACGTTATTCTGTAAATGCAGGACACATAATTAAAAATTACATATATCCAATGAAATTCAAGTTGTGTTGTGTCTTAATTTATTACTATATTATTGATCAAAGTCTGTATTATTATTATTACATTGATCAGAATCTCATAATTGAAGATTAAGTTATAAAAACTCTGGTCATTCTCATGCAAAAATGGATGTTCACGACAATTATGAAAAATTTTCATTCTGATTATTATATTTTGATCTATTATAACCAAATATTTTTCTCTTTTTTCATGTTCTTATTACCTACTAAGACTTCTTTACCTTATAATAACCAAAATTTATTATTATTTATTCATTGTTGATGCAATCCAAAAAAAGATCACTCTAACAGATATACAAAAATATGAATTTTGCCTTTATACTCATAATAACAAAGAAACTCATGAAAAATATATAAATTAGATTAAAGAAAAATGAAGAGTTACAGTCGATAAATCAACAATTATTTGAATTCTCCAATTCAAAGACAAACAACTAGCAACAAAAATCATAAATCAAGAAACAAAATATTATAAATTTGTTACCTCTCCAAAACTCGAGTTGGTCCTCAAGAAATTCATACTAATCTATCAGAATCAAACAATCTTAAGCAATGTTTTATTGATTGAAAAGGTGAAGTTATTAATAAAAGATTTAGAAGTTTTAGAAGATACATTATAATTTTCTCTCAGATAGCTTTACAAATTCAAGAATCGCAATAGAATTTATCAAGAAAAACTTTACAGTAAAGCAACATCTACAGACCTAAGTGTCATTACTGAATCTTGCTATTATTACAAGATAAATGTTTCAAATATCCTTCTGATTAAATCTATAACATGGATAAAATAGAACTTTTTTATTGATTGGAGCCTAACTGAATACTAATAATACAATATTATTATGAGTTCCAGGCTCAGGTAGGTAATCTCGTGATATATATGTTTAATCAACATCTATTTTGATAAGTTTATAATTTGATTTAATTATTTTAGAATCATGATGTTGTGTGACTTCTTTTATTCTATCAATTTAGAATAAGTAATACTACTACTAATAAATATCTTCCTTTGTATTTACTTAGTGTAATGACAGTTCTATAGCAATATAGTACTAATATTCTATAGCAATCTGGTTGAATATTCAGTAGTATATAAAGTAAGTGTTATAACAAGATTAATAATTATAAAATTAATTAATATATAATTCTCATTAAATAATAAACAAGAAGCAATTTATTGGCTATCTAATTTTTTGTATTGATCAATTAATATCTTTTTCAAAGTTTCAATTTTGCTTTATTTATAATAAATATTTTTCACTTATAAATATTACATTTATGACTAATTATATAAAAATAATAATTTATAAAATTTGATTAATTAATATATATAAAAATAATGAAAAATACAGAAATTATAGAATTTTTTATAGTTTTTGTAGTTTATAGAAATTATAGAAATTATAAAATTATAGAAATTATAGAAATTATAAAAATTTTGAAAATTATAGAAATTTTCAATCATAATAACGTAAATGTACAAAAATTATTTTAGCAGGCAAATTTATTCACTGAACAATTTAAAAGATAAGAATAATTAGTTAAAAATAAATAAAATCGGCAAAGATATTTTTGGAAAGTTTGGCTGTATTGAAAGTTAAATCATTTACTATGAGGATCATGATTCTGTAATCAATGAAAACTGTTTCAGTAGATAAGTACAGGCTTCTTGACCAATCTATAGCTTGAGCATTCCAATAAGGTTCTGAAGCTGGATTTCTTGACGTTGATGTCAAAGGTAAAGAGGTTTGCATAATAAAATTTTTTAGTTATCATGTAAAAGAAAGGGAGTAATAAAAAGAGAAGAGCACTAAAGATATAATATAATAACAATAAAAATTCGATGACGCATAGATAACATCAATAGAAAGTGCAACCAAATTCATCTTGAGTAAGTGTGGAGATTCGTATAAACCTTTTCCCTGCATAATATTGGCGATTTTGGGTTTATTGCACACACTTGCCATTTCGACGGGCTATGGAAAAGCGACGTGAGCGTTATTCACTATCGATCATAGCATGTAGATCTTATCGAATTTGATAAGTATCAATAATGATGATAATTAGTTTGCACTAATGATTAGATGCGAATTGTATTATCTAAGAAATAAAATTTCAATTTTTGTTTTTTTTTGATTTTAGAAATTCTTAAATGTACAATCTGCGATATTCTTCTATTGCTAAATTTCCAGAGATCGGAACTAAAAACTATCTTCATAGTGGTGGGGTGTATAATAGATAGTTTCACCCGAACGAAAAAAATGCACAACAGCTATACGTATTTATGTAAGAATTCTGGAATGAACATCCTATAATCATAAAATTCAGCAGAAATTCCTAACTAATTATCGAGAGCTAGCGAGATTCAGATCCATCGAAACAGCCAACAGAAGGAGATATTCGAAATACAATCGGAGAAAATTCAAAGATGATCACGAAGGCGTGTAATCATTAATATCTTCTGACTCATACATGTACTACATTGCATCACGCGCGAAATAAAGATCGTACACCGCGTTTCTCAATTCACATTTTTAACACGCGGTTATTTTCCAAAAGTAAAAATTTACTTTGATTATATTAGCTTGTTATTTGTTTCTTCTTGTCTCAACATACATAAGTGAAATTAGGTAAATGTCAGATAACTTATTAATATCTAAAGTGTTCTCATGGTTGAACTTCTAAATATCGTGTGTTCTTCTTTCGCTTTAAAGCAAGTTAATAGAAGATATCATTATTCTTCCTTGTTAGTAATACAGAAAACAAAAAATTTTCATAATGAGCGAAGGAAGTAAGCTTTTTCAACTTTCCGACACCATGTCGTCCTTGTTTGACTTTGACTTTACCAAGATGGAAGAGGTCCAAAACTGGACGGGAATAACTCCAACTATGGAAGATATTGAAACCGCCGCCGCCTTCTTTTCCAACAACAATAATAACGACGCGCAAACTGAAAACATCTCCTCTTCCTCCCCTACACAAATAACAACCAATCAGGGGACAAAGGAAAATCATGAATTTGTAATGTCAGTAGAAAATAACGATTTAATGGAGATATTACTTACACAAAAGTTCCTTGATGGAGATTCCGCCATCAGGACGGAAACAAATAGTCAAGGAGTAAAGGGAATTCAGGAATCAGTGATGGCGACAGAGAATAATAACGATTTAATCGATATGTTACTTCCACAAGAATTCATTAATACGGCGAGTACCTCGGATATGTTAAAACAATATCCGGAAATCGAGTTCAATGGTGTAAATGAAGGAAGAGGGTTGTTAACAGACGATGACTTAATTTTTCCGGACGAAGATATATTGTATGCGATACCTTTTATAGATACCAACACTTCACCTTCTATGAGCACGCCTACATCTCTTTATAATGACGATCTCACTACACATTCCACGGCTGATATTCTTGATAAGTCTTTTCTATCAATTTTCGATGAGCCGCTTATGCAAGATGATACTACTCTATTTAGTACTTCTCCCGCAAGTACTTCATCAATATCCGATGCAACTCTCGAACTTTTCTTGAGCACACTTGGCGAGTTACCTTCTAATATAAATGATGCAACAACACCGATCACTCGAACCCATGAATTATATTGCACTCTTCCATCGACTGTCTTTCCAACCATAGCTTCTTCGACAATACCTGCAACAAATACTATTAACTATATAACACCTGTATCTTCCCAAGCAACATCACCCGAGAAAAGAACTTCGTCCACCACGAAAGAAATAAT